GGTGCATTTTAAAACACGTTGTTCTGGTACTACAAGATATAAAAACTGGGCCAGTAGTTAGTCTATTTTGCAAGTGAACAAACCTGGTTGCTCTTGTAGATTCCCTCTCAGATGGTTATTTATTGTATCACTCACCCTCAAGTGTGTTTTAGGCATCACACGGTACAGTAAAATGATGTCTGCTGTACCGTACACCCCATCCTACTGCCCTGAACCCCCTGCTGCACCCCACACCCCAACCCCTTGCCCTGAGCCCCCTGCTGCATCCCACACCCCTTCTGCACCCTGAACCCCCTGCCTGCACCCCAGCTCCCTGCTGCACCTCAACTCCCTTCCCTGAGGCCTCGCCACACCCCTCATGCACCCTCTGGGGGCAGAGAGTGGGCAGAGTTGGGGTGGGGACTTCAGGGAAGGAGTTGGAATGGGGGCAGGGAAGGGGTGGGAAGAGGCAGGGCCTCATGGAAGGGGTGGAGTGGGGGCAGGGCCGGGGGCAGTGAGGAGGGGGTGCCAGTGATGTGGCCTCGGGCCAATGAACTAGCCCTCATGTGGCCCCCGTGGTCATTTGAGTTTGAGACCCCTGATCTAGTCCAACCCCCTGCTCAAGCAGGACCAATCCCCAACTAAATCATCCCAGCCAGGGCTTTGTCAAGCCTGACCTTAAAAACATCTAAGGAAGGAGATTCCACCACCTACCTAGGTAACCCATTCCAGTGCTTCACCACCTGCCTAGTGAAAAAGTTTTTCCTAATATCCAACCTAAACCTCCCCCACTGCAACTTGAGACCATTACTCCTTGTTCTGTCATCTGCTACCACTGAGAACAGTCTAGATCCATCCTCTTTGGAACCCCCTTCAGGTAGTTGAAAGCAGCTATCAAATCCCCCCTCTTTCTTCTCTTCTGCAGACTAAATAATCCCAGTTTCCTCAGCCTTTCCTCATAAGTCATGTACTCCAGTCCCCTAATCACTTTTGTGGCCCTCCGCTGGATTCTTTCCAATTTTTCCACATCCTTCTTGTAGTGTCGGGCTCAAAACTGGACACAGTACTCCAGATGAGGCCTCACCAATGCCGAATAGAGGGGAATGATCACATCCCTTGATCTGCTGGCAATGCTCCTACTTATACAGCTCAAAATCCCTATCCCCCCAAAATATCCCCCCCCAAACCTCTTCACCCCCTTTCCTGGGGAGGCTTGAGAATAAAGAATCAACCAGTTGCCTTAGCAATGTGAGCACAGACCAGACCCTTTGTCTTCAGGACACTGAAATCAATCAGGTTCTTAAAAGAAGAACTTTCTTTAAAAGAAAAAAAGTAAAAGAATCACACCTGCAAAATTAGGATAGGAGGTAACTTTACTGGGTAATAAAAAGATTTAAAACACTGAGGATTCATCTCTGGGCTCAGATTCATAGTTACAAAAACAGGAATAAAACTCCCTCTGTCGCATAGGAAAATTCATACAAGCCACAACAAAAAGATAACCTAACGCATTTCCTTGCCCTACTCACAGTTTCTGTGGTTGTCGATGGATTATTCAGGAATATTTTCAGGAGATGTTGTACCTGCTTGGCTTCTCCCTTTGTCTGGAGAGGGAACAACAAAAGAGGACAAAAGAACAAATCTGCCCCCCCCCCAGATATGAAAGTATTTTGTTTCCTCATTGGTCCTTCTGGTCAGATGCCAGCTAAGTTATTTGAACTGCTTAATCCCTTTACAGGTAAGGCAATCCAGTACAACTGCCAAGGAGGGATTTTATACTACTGCATACATAAAGGTTGCTACCCTTCCCCCGATTCATGACAAGTGCAGATGGTCTGCCCCCCAGGGTGGAGACAACATTGCAAGGAATTTCTAGTGGTTCCTTCACCCCAGAGGGAAAGAATCCAGGAACTTTGTCTACTGCCTTCCAGAGAGAGTCCCCCTTTTCAACATTAAACACTCAGGTGGCCTTGACCGTGTCATCACATCTTTGCTTTCTTTCCAGGAATGGGAAAAGTCCTCCTGAAAAAATGGAGACTACTACTGCATGTGGGGGAAAATAAAGCCCAGCTCCATTCCCAGCACCAGACGTCCCTTTTTTTACAAAGAAGAGGAAGCTGCTTATCTCCAATATCCTTGCATAGCTGCTACTCTGTGGCTTATCCTTGTATGGGGTAGGGGAAGGCTGTGTTTCACGTGTTTAATTATTTTAGCACTTTGACTTCACCCAAGTGGTTGCAGTCTCCACCCTAAAGTCTTGAATGAGGGTCTGATTCTGCTCCAGTTGAAGTCAACTGGAGTTTTCCCATTGACTTCAGTGGGAGTGGGATTGGGAGCAGTGCGCCAAAGAATTGGCAAATCTATCCTGTTAATAAAAGATGGAAAAATGATTTCATTTTGCTGTCCTTCCCCCAAACCCTAAGGCTTGGCATTTCCCAGCCTGGGAGAACTTGGGCCAGCTTCTCATCTCAGTTTCGACTGATAGAAATCCAGAATTACTGAAGTCAATGGAGTTACTCCGGATTCACACCAGGATAGCTACAAACAGAATCTGGCCCCTTCTGCTTCTTTCTTTCTATTGCGCTTGACGTGCAATCGAAAACTGTGAGGTTGGCACACCTGTTCCTGTTCAGCATTAATAGCCAGGCGAGACCCTCGATCAATATGGAACTGCTTAGCATCTGCCGAGGAGTTAGCCAGTGTTGTAACGAGGCCATGTCTTTTCTCAAATTACTGCCAGCTGGATGGAGACTTGTGCAGATGAACTCTGCGAGGATGCACAATACAGAAATGAACCTGCGTTAGAGAGTCAAAATCCATCTCCATTTCAGCGTAAAAGCTCACCCGTGCTCCCTGCATGTGACAGCTCCTTATAAACACCCAATCTTATTAGAGCCGAGGGGAGAATGTACAGTCAGTAATTTGCTCTTTAAATTTTGCCTCTGTTTCTGTTTGTGAAAAATGATATTTGTATTACTTGTTAAGCTTTGGAAAAGTGCAGGAGTCGTCAGAGGTGAAATGAGGTGGTTGCTGTGGGGAATATTGAAGGGTTGTGACGTACACCCCATAATGCTTTATAAAAATATGCTTATGTGTCTCAATATGACATAACTGGAATATGTTTTATGCTAGATATGCCATGTAACATATCTCTGCTAAGGTTATGAGCTACTAAAGATATTCATCCTATATGTATGCATGTATCATTTTTATATCTGAAGTTATGAGCATTGGCTCTATGCTTGTATTTAAAGTGTTTGCTGTAGGAGGCACATAAGGCAGATTTGGTTAACATAGTGCGAAGGGGTCATTCAAGTAATTGGGAGTATTTAACTAGCAATGGACTTCAGGAGATGCCAATCCACCTCTGAGCTTTCCTTGGAATGGTCAAACTAACATGTAAACAATGGCGTCGGCCTGCAAAAAGCTGAATCATTCGTAGTCATGTGACTTGCCCAGGTGGCTACAGACTCCATTTTGTTGCTGTGATTTTGCACAGGAGAACAAAGGGGTTTCCGCCCACGAGAGAGAATATAAAAGGTCCTGGAAACTCCTCCATTTTGTCTTCAGCTGACTCAAAAGATAGCCTCTCCACCCCAAAGAGATGCCTGAAAGAAACTGAAACAAAGGAAAGTAACTACAAGGGTGTGAGTGATTGCTGGACCCAGACTAGGAAGGAGTCTAGTCTATTAAAGAAGCTTATTGGAACATCTCTGAGGGTGAGATTTACCTGCATTTTGTTTCCTACTGTATTAGGCTTAGATTTGCGTGTTTTTGTTTTATTTTGCTTGGTAATTTACTTTGTTCTGTCTGTTATTACTTGGAACCACTTAAATCCTACTTTTTATACTTAATAAAATCACTTTTTGGTTATTAATTGACCCAGAGTTAGTAATTAATTCCCCGGGGAGCAAACAGCTATGCATATCTTTCCATCAATGTTATAGAAGGCGAACAATTTATGAGTTTACCCTGTATAAGCTTTATACAGTGTAAAACAGATTTATTTGGGGTTTGGATCCCATTGGGAACTATGTTTCTGGGTGCTAGAGGCAGGAGAACTTCTTAAGCTGTTTTCAGTTAAATCTGCAGCTTGTGGGGGATGTGATTCAGATCTGGGTCTGTGTTTGCAGCAGGCTAGCATGTCTGGCTCAACAAGACAGGGTACTGAAGTCCCAAGCTGTCAGGAAAAATGGGCTCAGAGGTAGTCTGAGCATATCAGGTGGCAGTCCTAAGGTGGACTCTCTGACCCAACCTGTCAGAAGGGTATAAAGGGGTGTTGCAGGTGAAGGATACTATGGAGGAACTGTTTGTGTGGGTAAAGTTCCATGGGGGGGAGGAATATGTGGTGTTGTAGGGGGGGAGTGGGGTGATAATTGGACCTACAAATGTACCCTTATTGTCAGCTCAGTGTGAAAAGTGAGGGAAAGTTCATACAGTCTCACAATAGCCTGTGATAACAAAGTTTAAAACAGGGTGACAGACTGAATTAGTCCAAACAAAACAACCTCCTAGTGTAACTCCAGGACTGTGCCTTGTTTACCAAGAATGATCTTAACCGAGCGTGAGACAGGAAATCGATGAACTAAAATGGGTGTGTTGGAAATGAAGCCTACGTGGTGGCCAAAGGAAAGAGGGGATGGGCTATTCCACCCATCGTCCCCTTTTGGGGCCCTTAAAGAAAGAGTTTGGGGAGAAAAATTTGGCTCCTGAAGCGAGCTTCACCATCCTGTCTGATGCCCACACTGTTTTCTGGAACCCCAGGCCGTCTTCGTCCTAATCCTGGGATTCCTGACCAGATCGGGCCAGGGGGAGGGATCTGGACGAGGTTGCCACTTCCACCAGCTTTGGCTGAATCCCTGACCCAGCTGAGATGTAAGACTCTCCCTTCCACCCCTCCATGTGTCCTTTTCCTTGGCCTTATTTCTTCTCTTTCTTGTATCTCTCTCTCTCTTTCTCCTTTTGCCTTCTGGCTAATAAGTGTTTGGCTTAGCCAGCCCAGCGTGTGTATTTTGCAACATGCTCTAAACCTGTGACCAGAAAGAGGCAGCTAAAGGTAATGCCCTAAACAGCCTGATGCAATTGCAAGTTTACCAGGTCTTGGAGTGGCTGATCAGACCATGCACTGTGCCTGTTTTTCCAGCAGTGACGTTGCGAGTGAGAATCAACCCCAGAGACAGAAGCTGCATTTTCCATCTTCGCTGTTCTTTTCTCTCCCCTTTTGTGTGTGTTTGTCTCCTTAGGAAACAGGATTGGACTTAAACAACAGCTCCAGCCCATTTCAACGAAGGCCTTGTCTACACTAAGCACTAAGGCCTTGGCTACACTTACCCGGTAGTTCGGCGGCGAGCGATCGAACTTCTGGGTTCGACTTATCGCGTCTTGTCTGGACGCGATAAGTCGAACCTGGAAGTGCTCGCCGTCGACTGCGGTACTCCAGCTCGGCGAGAGGAGTACCGCGGAGTCGACGGGGGAGCCTGCCTGCTGCGTGTGGACCGAGGTAAGTTCGAACTAAGGTACTTCAAACTTCAGCTACGTTATTCACGTAGCTGAAGTTGCGTACCTTAGTTCGAATTAGGGGGTTAGTGTAGACCTGGCCTAAATTGGCACTGCTACGATCGATGCAGCGGTGTTGTTTTAGCGGGTCTGGTGAAGATGTGATAAGTCAAAGTGAGAGAGCTCTCCCATCGACTTAATTCATCCACCTCAACGAGAGGCGGAAGCCACGTCAGTGGGAGATGCTCTCCCTTCGACACAGCGTGGTGAAGACACCACATTAAGTCGACTTCAGTGATGTAACCAACATAGCTTAAGTAGCGTAACTTACATAGACTTGTAGCGTTAATGCAGGTTGGGCCTTCTTCTCTTTTCCCCAAAAAGAACCATCTTTGATACCAGCTAAGAGACGGTCAAACAAGGACTTAAGAACTCTCTCCAAAGAAAGGGAGAAAGGGATGCTGTTAAAATGCAAATCTTATTGAATACTTTTCATTTCAGATGCTTTAAATGTTTTTCCTTTTTCCTGTAGCTTTAATAAAGAAGTTAAGAAGGATTTTTAATGGTGTGTTTGCCATTGGTACTAAGCAGGCTGAAGTCTCTGGATACCAAACCTGGTTTAAAACTGTTTCATGTTGGACAGTGAGTGGGTTACGTTAACAGCTTTGACCCATGTAGTCCATGTAAATTAATACAATTCAGGGGAGTGGTGTGGAATGGGAGGGAAATTCCATGGGGTGCTATGTGCGAATTGTAGTGGGAGCAGGGGTGGGTTGCAATAGAGAAAAGCCGTGGAAGATTGTGGGGCATGTGTTGAGGTGAATGAGGCATCGGGGGCACGGTGACACTGAGCCAGGAAGGGTGAAGCAACTTGCAGGCTAAATGACCCAAATTCGACCTTTAAAGACATACTGGGAAAGGATGTTAATAGGAATTAGGGTTATTCCTTATAAATAGTTAGCAAAGCCATGTTAGATGAGAGCTTTCAAATGTAGTCTTGTATTGTTAAAGAATTGGAAGAAGATAATGATTGTAGTAGTCTGTTTACCTATATCCTGTTAGAGGTTAACAATGTAACCAGATGTTTCCTGTCTTGTCACTATGCTCTATTGATTCAAAGACCAAAAGGGAATGTTAGCATTTAGATGAATTGTAAATGTGGTAACATTGTCTTCATTCCTGTTTGAAATATGTAATAAACTCCCTGTAAGTGGCGGGAGCTGGACAGTTGCCTCATGCTAATCCATGTAGCTAATTACTGGTGATGCTTAGGAAATAGGAGGTAACTTCAAAGCCACAATGCTTCCCCTATTATTCACCTGCTGTCAAGAGGCGGCAAGAGAACTATACAAAGGACTCTTGAGCCCTGATCCTATTATCTCAGATCTGCTTAAGCTTCATCAAGGGAGGTTTGAGTTGCAAGACTGAGGTCCCCAGCTCCAGACTGGGTCACGCGGGTATTGGACATTGGACTATAATTTATGGAACTAATTCTGAAAGAACTTTTTGCAACTCTGAAGCTCACTATCTCTACTGTGAACTGACCTAAGAACTCAATTTATACCTGTATGTATAATGATCTTTTAACCAATACTCTTTTTCAATAAATCTTAGTTTAGTTAATAAGAATTGGCTGTAAGCGTGTATTTGGGTAAGATCTGAGATATTCATTGACCTGGGGGGGGGTCATGTGTCCAATTCTTTGGGATTGGTAGGACTTTTTATATGATTTGATTTTGATCTTGATATGAACAAGAATTTCAGTAATCCTCATCATATTTGACTTGGCTGTCTGGGTGGGAGCCCAAGGCTGGGTTGCTTTAAGGGAACAGTGTATTGGCTGCTGGGTAACCAGTAAGGTATTGTAGAAGCTGTTTTGTTGCTGGCTTGGTGAATCTAAGTATTAGAAATAACCACCAGTTTGGGGGTTGATGATCTGCCCCATTCTTTGCAGTTTGCCCTGACTGAGCAATCTCAGTGTGCCCCCCCCCCTCCCCGGCACTCTGGTCACAGGCACCATGAGGCTTGTAGGGTGGGGAGTGGAGGTATGGGGG